CGTTCGCTTCCCACGGTAGCGGTTGGATTGTGGAGCGCATTGAAAAGCTGGCTGTAAGTTTTGCAGCATTTTCTCCTATCCGTGCTGGCTCATACATTGACCTTCCCGATTCATTGAAACCGGTGAAACAGAGTTTCACCAACATTAAAACGAGAAACGATCAGAAGTGCTTTCTATACTGCTTTGTGGCCGCGTACCATGATCGATATTCAGAGACCACAACTGCTCTTTATCCTGCTGCCCAAAGCTACCAACATCGAAACAAACTGAAAAATTACAAGCTCTCCCAAGAACATGTTGTGAAAATTGAAGGCTGGTACGAGATGCCAATGGGACTATTTGATATTGACCGATTTGAACAACTTAACAACTGTCAAGTCAATGTATTCCGGTGAGCATTGATTTTTTTTTTTTGACAAAACATTTGTTTAATCATGTATAACACATTACGTTCATCCAGAAACCCGAGCACTCAATTGTTTGTTTTCATTAGGTACAAAGAAGGTGAATTGCTACCTTTGAGAGTGTCCAGCAAATACTCAAGTGATCTATGTGTTGACCTACTACTACTCAGCAACGGACAGACTCATCACTATGTGCTGATCACTGATTTGATGAGGGTGGTGGAATATGTGCGTGGAAAACTACACCGAGACCGAAACCAAATTTGCCGCAAATGCTTCCATACATGTTCATCCATCGATACACTACAAAGGCACCAGGAAATGTGCTACCAAGACGAGGGAGTGGTAATCACTATGCCAAAACCGGGAAAGGACACTCATCGTTTCAAAAATTTAACTGCCCGCTGGTATGTACCGAGAGTTATTTACTTTGACCTCGAATCGCTACTACTACCCGTATACGGACCGCAACCCGACCCCGAAAAATCTAGCACCCAAACACTAGAGATTCATCAACCATGCGGTTACGCTCTGGCCGTTGTTGAATTTGGGAAGCGTGGAGTTTTAAAGTTTGAACTGAAGAGAGGAGAAAATGTTATGAAGGAATTGATCGCCTCGCTCGAATCTTTGGCGAAACAAATATACCTCGAAAAACGAAAATATTACACGTTCACTGGCACACCAAGTTGCACGCGTGAAGAAGCGCACACTTGTTGGATATGTGAAACAGAATTTGCTGACAATGACCAAGTTGTCCTTGATCACTGTCACTATACCAACAAGTTCTTGGGGTGGGCCCATAACGAATGCAATATCAATCGAAAAACGGCGAACTATATACCCGTAATAGCGCATAACTTGTCAAACTATGATCTGCATTTCATTATAAAAGCGCTCTCAAACAGTAACCCCGAAAACACTTACTCAGTGATCCCTTCCACTGAGGAGAAGTATATATCACTCACTATGTCGGTCTATATCAAATCATACACCGATAAAAACGGAAAACTCAAAAAAGTGTATGAAAATCTACGTTTCATAGACTCCTATAAATTCATGCTGTCCCCCCTTTCAAAACTCGTCGAATACTTGCCGGAAGAAAAGTTTTTCCTACTGGAAAATTACTTTGAAGAACTTGGTTACTCATCAGAACAGATAGCATTGCTAAAACAAAAAGGTTTCTACCCGTATTCATACTTTACTAGTTTTGAAAAGTTTCGAGAAACCCGACTGCCACCTAGAAAAATGTGGAGCAACACTTTACAGGGAGGGGAAATAAGTGTTTCGAAAAATCAGTACAACCATGCTATTAAAGTTTTCGCCGAAATGAAATGCGCATCACTAGGCGAGTACCATGATGTATACCTAGCAACGGACGTACTACTACTCGCTTCAGTATTCGAAGCCTTTCGTGAAGTTTGTTACGAAACGTACGGATTAGATTGTGCATGCTACTTCACGGCTAGTAACCTCTCGGGCGATGCATTCTTAAAAGTCTGCAATGCAGACCTCAAGTTACTTACTGAAAGGGAGCATTTGAACATGGTTCAAAAAATGATACGGGGAGGGATGTCATCGATATATGCACGCCGTTTTTTTAAAGCCAACAACAAATACCTCGAAGACTACAATCCTGAAGAGCCCTCTAGCTATCTATTGAATATAGACGCTAACAATTTATACGGGGGTATTATGAAGCACTGTCCCCTTCCCATCAAAGATTTCTCAATAGTTGAGGAAAGTCTCGAATTTATTTTGCAAACCGACGATAAATCTGAGTGGGGATACATTTTGGAAGTGGATCTCAGTATACCTGAAGAACTTCAAGATTACTTTGCAGACTACCCTCTAGCCCCCTCACGTGAAGTTATCGGCACGGATAAACTAAGTAATGAGCAAATACAGATGTTAGGGGAGATGGGGGTCACGTCGCTACCAAAGGTACCAAAACTGGTTCAAACATTAGATCCAAAGGAGGGCTACGTTCTGCACTACCTCACATTAAAACTCTACATAGAACTAGGCTTAAGAGTTACCAAATTGATTAAGGTCTTAAAATTTCGTCAAGGTAGATGGATGGAGCCCTTTGTCGATTTAAACACTCAATTGAGAATGTCAGCGCGCAACAAATTTGAAGAGAACTTTTACAAGCTCATCGTAAATTCAGCATTCGGTAAAACTATGGAATCAAAACTAGGACGCAAAAAACTAGAAATTATTAGAAATGAAAGAGAATTGCTTCAAAAAACAGCTTTGAACACGATGAAAAGCTTCCAGATAATCGACGAGGAAGTTGCTACTGTTTGTTTTGCTGTAACGAGTATTTTGTGGGACAAACCCATGATAATTGGTGCAAGTATTTTGGATTTGTCGAAAAGATTCATGTTTTACTTTCATTATCGGCAAATGAAAGCAAGCATGAACCTTGAACTGCTATACAGTGACACAGATTCGTTTATTTATGCGATAAAAACCGAAGACGTATACGCAGATCTGCAAAAACTGACCGATAGTTTCGATTTTTCCAACTACCCAAGCGATCACTTCTTATTCAGCAATGTGAATAAGAAGGTTGTATTGAAATTTAAGGACGAGGCGGCGGGAAAAATCATTGCAGAATTCATCGCGTTGAAACCAAAGCTCTACTCGTTGAAATATGCAGGTTAGTATTAAAAAAAAGCACCTCTCCAAGTCCCCTCCATTTCTTTACATTAAGGGTTCCCTTCATTGGGGTTTTGGATTTTGTTGGAAACCAAATTAATAACTTTTGTTGATCCCTGTCAATTTAATTAGACATAACTAGCCCTGAAAAGCTCTGATTCTTCATTTAAAAACTTAAAATGAAGAACCATTCATCATTTAAAATGTTTTAAACAAATACTCACCACAAACGCACTTTTGTAACTTTTGACGTTAACAAATTTAAAATTTTGACATGGAATGATTTTTTGATAATGGCACGATTTGGAATTATTATGATTTGGAATGAATTAAGATATTTAAACTTTTTGGAATTTTTATGATTTGGAATGAATTAAGATATTTAAACTTTTTGGAAATGAAAAAATTGGAATGTTATTAGATATTGAGTCTTCAAAATATTCAAATTTGGGAACCGTTTTGGTCATTAATACTAGAACTGGTCTTACAAAGCTGAAATATGTTTATGGGCTAATCTTTGTTCTTTATTTAGATTCAACTAGCAAAAGGAGTGCAAAAGGAGTAGTACAACACTCCCAGCAGCAACTTACACACCAGAGGTTCAGGGAAACATTACTGAGTGGAAAAACCCTTCGTATATACAACTACTCAATAAAATCGAAAGCCCATACCAACATAACCATAGCGCAGAACCGAATTGCCCTTTCACCCTTCGATAGTAAACGGTTCTTACTATTCGACGGGATAGGTACATTGCCCTTTGGACACAGGTCTACAGAAGAAAATGTGTTCTTCGAGGCCATTGCAGAAGAAAGCGAGTGGGCAAACTCACAGTTGACAAATACCCCGACTTATAGCAGCGAAAACAGCGAAAGCTGGCAATCGCCGGAATTCCGGGTCCCAGATTGGGGCTTTCTTCAAGAAAGCTATACGGAGGAAGAGCTTCAAGAAGAAAGCGCAGCTAGCAGTTCAAGAGACCCTCCGCCTATCAATAATCCATTCATTCTAACAGAAGCGTCTGTTCGTTCTAGTCAGAAAAAAAGGAGAAAACTTGATAAAGTTGATCAATAAAATTTTTCACTTGAAAATGTCGGCCAAATTGCCTTGTTACTTGGAATTACGGCTGTACATTTGTAAATATAAAACATTCAGCAAACATTGTTTTAAGTTAAATAGACCGGCGCAAAAGAGACTGGTAATTGCAACTTACCCTTGAAGCAGGAGCGAAGGATTGAAGCAGGAGCGAAGTTTCCCAAAGTAAGCTAATAGTAAGGATAAAAGAATCAAAATGGTGCAAGTCGAAATTAAGGGAGACTTGGAAATAAGTTTGAAAATAAAATAAGAAAGAGAAACGAACAATAATTACCAAAAATTTTTAAAAGGAAATATGAATGGTACTTTATGTAAACTCATATTTATATGAACGAAAAGGATTAGCTTTTAGATAAAAATAAGCGAAAAAACCGCAGCCGGATATACCTAGTGGTGGGAAAGTTTGGAAGGGATTAAATTTAACCACCGCGCGAAAATAAATACCAAGTATTTTCTCTGTCGGGTGTCCTAAGAGAGGGGTCTTTTTATTTCGGGCAGGGTACTTTGGGGTCTTTAAAAAAGATGGGTCCTTTTAGACCCTACTTTTGGTAGGACCCCAAAGACCCCTACCGTCGAAAAGACCCCCCCCTAAGGACACACGGCGGATTACAATACTACTATTGATTGCATAAAATTTATTTTCTTAATTTTCTCTTCTAAGTCAAGAGTTTTTGAGGTGGGTGAGGAACGATTAGTTTGCTACGAGATCTCTTGCACATACAAGTTAATCAGGCTGTTTCATTTGTTTCCATGTGATGCAGTGTGAGACTAATTTAGCCTACTATTCCTTCCGAAGAGGATGGGGGTGGGGGGGGGGGTCTGTGAGTCTCTTACTGTACTCACTTTCTCTCCATGATGGCCGCCAGTTTGTGGCACTGAAGAGCGGTGAGTGTGTGTGCGTGTGAGTGTCTGCTGTTGGTGGCGTGCAGTCTCATTGCCAATGTCAGGATGTCCGCTGCATCCCCACTCCCCTCACACACCACCACAGGGATCCCGTTGGCCAGGGCACGCGCCGCCCGCTCGAAGCAGTCGTACTCCCCGCCCACTAAAACGACCACATACTGTGCTTATACACAACTGCACAACTGTGCTCATATTATAAGTATTATTTGTACATAAATTAACTAATCATCATTAAGAACATAAACTCTTAGTATTGTTGAACTCTTATCTTTAGAAGAATTTCTGTTTTGATCTAAAACAGATTGCTCCCAGTTAGAAATAATTTGGTCACACATACACAAACCTTTGAGTAGTTTTACCCGTTTAGTCATACAGTGAACACATTCACAATAAGTGGACATACCTAGAATGAGGACTAAGCGATCGTTGAGTCCACTGATATGTGAGATATTATTCGTATAATGAAAAGTGGTAAATATGATTGAGAAATAGTGGACAGACCTAGAATGAGTACTAGAGGAGTGTTGAGTCCATTGCTGTGTGAGATGATACGCGTATAGTAAAAGTGGGAAGTATGATTAAGAAATAGTGGACAGACCTAGAATGAGTACTAGAGGAGTGTTGAGTCCATTGCTCTGTGAGATGATACGGGTATAGTAATAAATGGGAAATATGATTGAGAAATAGTGGACAGACCTAGAATGAGTACTAGAGGAGTGTTGAGTCCATTGCTCTGTGAGATGATACGGGTATAGTAATAAGTGGGAAATATGATTGAGAAATAGTGGACAGACCTAGAATGAGTACTAGAGGAGTGTTGAGTCCATTGCTCTGTGAGATGATACGGGTATAGTAATAAGTGGGAAATATGATTGAGAAATAGTGGACAGACCTAGAATGAGTACTAGAGGAGTGTTGAGTCCATTGCTCTGTGAGATGATACGGGTATAGTAATAAGTGGGAAATATGATTGAGAAATAGTGGACAGACCTAGAATGAGTACTAGAGGAGTGTTGAGTCCATTGCTCTGTGAGATGATACGGGTATAATAATAAGTGGGAAATATGATTGAGAAATAGTGGACAGACCTAGAATGAGTACTAGAGGAGTGTTGAGTCCATTGCTCTGTGAGATGATACGGGTATAGTAATAAGTGGGAAATATGATTGAGAAATAGTGGACAGACCTAGAATGAGTACTAGAGGAGTGTTGAGTCCATTGCTCTGTGAGATGATACGGGTATAGTAATAAGTGGGAAATATGATTGAGAAATGAGAAATAGTGGACAGACCTAGAATGAGGACTAGAGGAGTGTTGAGTCCATTGCTCTGTGAGATGATACGGGTATAGTAAAAGTGGGAAATATGATTGAGAAATAGTGGACAGACCTAGAATGAGTACAAGAGGAGTGTTGAGTCCATTGCTCTGTGAGATGATACGGGTATAGTAATAAGTGGGAAATATGTTTGAGAAATAGTGGACAGACCTAGAATGAGTACTAGAGGAGTTTTGAGTCCATTGCTCTGTGAGATGATACGCGTATAGTAAAAGTGGGAAATATGATTGAGAAATAGTGGACAGACCTAGAATGAGGACTAGAGGAGTGTTGAGTCCATTGCTCTGTGAGATCATACGGGTATAGTAATAAGTGGGAAATATGATTGAGAAATAGTGGACAGACCTAGAATGAGTACTAGAGGAGTGTTGAGTCCATTGCTCTGTGAGATGATACGGGTATAGTAATAAGTGGGAAATATGATTGAGAAATAGTGGACAGACCTAGAATGAGGACTAGAGGAGTGTTGAGTCCATTGCTCTGTGAGATGATACGGGTATAGTAATAAGTGGGAAATATGATTGAGAAATACTGGACAGACCTAGAATGAGTACTAGCGGAGTGTTGAGTCCATTGCTCTTTGAGATGATACGGGTATAGTAATAAGTGGGAAATATGATTGAGAAATAGTGGACAGACCTAGGAATGAGTACTAGAGGAGTGTTGAGTCCATTCCTCTGTGAGATGATACGGGTATAGTAATAAGTGGGAAACATTATTGAGAAATAGTGGACAGACCTAGAATGAGTACTAGAGGAGTGTTGAGTCCATTGCTCTGTGAGATGATACGCGTATAGTAAAAGTGGGAAATATGATTGAGAAATAGTGGACAGACCTAGAATGAGTACTAGAGGAGTGTTGAGTCCATTGCTCTGTGAGATGATACGGGTATAGTAATAAGTGGGAAATATGATTGAGAAATAGTGGACAGACCTAGAATGAGGACTAGAGGAGTGTTGAGTCCATTGCTCTGTGAGATTATACGGGTATAGTAATAAGTGGGAAATATGATTAAGAAATAGTGGACAGACCTAGAATGAGTACTAGAGGAGTGTTGAGTCCATTGCTCTGTGAGATGATACGGGTATAGTAAAAGTGGGAAATATGGTTGAGAAATAGTGGACAGACCTAGAATGAGTACTAGAGGAGTGTTGAGTCCATTGCTCTGTGAGATGATACGGGTATAGTAATAAGTGGGAAATATGTTTGAGAAATAGTGGACAGACCTAGAATGAGTACTAGAGGAGTTTTGAGTCCATTGCTCTGTGAGATGATACGGGTATAGTAATAAGTGAGAAATATGATTGAGAAATAGTGGACAGACCTAGAATGAGTACTAGAGGAGTGTTGAGTCCATTGCTCTGTGAGATGATACGGGTATAGTAATAAGTGGGAAATATGATTGAGAAATAGTGGACAGACCTAGGAATGAGTACTAGAGGAGTGTTGAGTCCATTGCTCTGTGAGATGATACGGGTATAGTAATAAGTGGGAAATATGATGAGAAATAGTGGACAGACCTAGAATGAGTACTAGAGGAGTGTTGAGTCCATTGCTCTGTGAGATGATACGCGTATAGTAAAAGTGGGAAATATGATTGAGAAATAGTGGACAGACCTAGAATGAGTACTAGAGGAGCGTTGAGTCCACTGCTCTGTGAGATGATACGGGTATAGTAATAAGTGGGAAATATGATTGAGAAATAGTGGACAGACCTAGAATGAGTACTAGAGGAGTGTTGAGTCCATTGCTCTGTGAGATGATACGCGTATAGTAAAAGTGGGAAATATGATTGAGAAATAGTGGACAGACCTAGAATGAGTACTAGAGGAGTGTTGAGTCCATTGCTCTGTGAGATGATACGGGTGTAGTAATAAGTGGGAAATATGATTGAGAAATAGTGGACAGAACTAGAATGAGTACTAGAGGAGTGTTGAGTCCATTGCTCTGTGAGATGATACGCGTATAGTAAAAGTGGGAAATATGATTGAGAAATAGTGGACAGACCTAGAATGAGTACTAGAGGAGTGTTGAGTCCATTGCTCTGTGAGATGATACGGGTATAGTAAAAGTGGGAAATATGATTGAGAAATAGTGGACAGACCTAGAATGAGTACTAGAGAAGTGTTGAGTCCATTGCTCTGTGAGATGATACGGGTATAGTAAAAGTAAGAAATATGATTGAGAAATAGTGGACAGACCTATAATGAGGACTAGAGGAGTGTTGAGTCCATTGCTCTGTGAGATGATACGGGTATAGTAAAAGTGGGAAATATGATTGAGAAATAGTGGACAGACCTAGAATGAGTACTAGAGGAGTGTTGAGTCCATTGCTCTGTGAGATGATACGGGTATAGTAAAAGTGGGAAATATGATTGAGAAATAGTGGACAGACCTAGAATGAGTACTAGAGGAGTGTTGAGTCCATTGCTCTGTGAGATGATACGGGTATAGTAATAAGGGGAAATATGTTTGAGAAATAGTGGACAGACCTAGAATGAGTACTAGAGGAGTTTTGAGTCCATTGCTCTGTGAGATGATACGCGTATAGTAAAACTGGGAAATATGATTGAGAAATAGTGGACAGACCTAGAATGAGGACTAGAGGAGTGTTGAGTCCATTGCTCTGTGAGATGATACGGGTATAGTAATAAGTGGGAAATTTGTTTGAGAAATAGTGCACAGACCTAGAATGAGTACTAGAGGAGTGTTGAGTCCATTGCTCTGTGAGATGATACGCGTATAGTAAAAGTGGGAAATATGATTGAGAAATAGTGGACAGACCTAGAATGAGGACTAGAGGAGTATAGAGTCCATTGCTCTGTGAGATGATACGGGTATAATAATAAGTGGGAAATATGTTTGAGAAATAGTGGACAGACATAGAATGAGTACAAGAGGAGTTTTGAGTCCATTAGTCTGTGAGATGATACGCGTATAGTAAAAGTGGGAAATATGTTTGAGAAATAGTGGACAGACCTAGAATGAGTACTAGAGGAGTGTTGAGTCCATTGCTCTGTGAGATGATACGCGTATAGTAAAAGTGGGAAATATGATTGAGAAATAGTGGACAGACCTAGAATGAGTACTAGAGGAGCGTTGAGTCCACTGCTCTGTGAGATGATACGGGTATAGTAATAAGTGGGAAATATGATTGAGAAATAGTGGACAGACCTAGAATGAGTACTAGAGGAGTGTTGAGTCCATTGCTCTGTGAGATGATACGCGTATAGTAAAAGTGGGAAATATGATTGAGAAATAGTGGACAGACCTAGAATGAGTACTAGAGGAGTGTTGAGTCCATTGCTCTGTGAGATGATACGGGTGTAGTAATAAGTGGGAAATATGATTGAGAAATAGTGGACAGAACTAGAATGAGTACTAGAGGAGTGTTGAGTCCATTGCTCTGTGAGATGATACGCGTATAGTAAAAGTGGGAAATATGATTGAGAAATAGTGGACAGACCTAGAATGAGTACTAGAGGAGTGTTGAGTCCATTGCTCTGTGAGATGATACGGGTATAGTAAAAGTGGGAAATATGATTGAGAAATAGTGGACAGACCTAGAATGAGTACTAGAGAAGTGTTGAGTCCATTGCTCTGTGAGATGATACGGGTATAGTAAAAGTAAGAAATATGATTGAGAAATAGTGGACAGACCTATAATGAGGACTAGAGGAGTGTTGAGTCCATTGCTCTGTGAGATGATACGGGTATAGTAAAAGTGGGAAATATGATTGAGAAATAGTGGACAGACCTAGAATGAGTACTAGAGGAGTGTTGAGTCCATTGCTCTGTGAGATGAT